TACTGCAATCTCCTCGATCCCCCACTTCCATCTATGTTCTACTGGTTCCTCCCTGCCCTCGTTGCATACCATGACGGCACTCTTCGTAACGTTGGGAGACAATCTCCACTTATCAGTAAACTTCTTCGCCGCTTCAATTTGCAGTTGCAGTCCCTCAGGGGTGTCCGACATACCAACAAAATCATCCGCAAACAGCATTCCTGACACCGAAGTTTCCGTGTCCCCTACTTTTACTCCCTTCCGGACTGCCTCTACGACTTCCAACAGATCGTTGATGAACACCTGGAACAGTGTTGGGGACAGCGTGCAACCTTGTGGGACCCCTTGCTCAATGTCGAAGAATTTAGACAGTTCTCCGTCTAGCATGACCGCGCTTTTCGTACACTCTGTCATCTTCTTCAGCACCCTCCACATTTTCCCCTTGATCCCGTACTTGGACAATTGTTTCCACAGCCCATTTCTCCATACGGTATCGTATGCCTTTTTCACGTCCAGGAAGAAGCAGTACGTCCGCTTTCCCGCCCTCTTTCTACCTTGGATGATTCTCCCTACCGTGAATGCGTGGTCTACGCACCCCCTCTTCTGTCGGAAACCTGCCTGGCCCTCACTAATGCTACGTTTCTTCTCCAATACTCCCACTATCCTATCGTTCAGCAGCTTACAAAACACTTTTCCTACTGTGTTCAACAGTGTGATACCCCTGTAGTTTCCTGGGTCAGTGTTGTCTCCTTTCTTAAACAAGTTCACAACCACTCCTTCCCTCCATCTACTTGGCGCATACTCGTTTTTCCACACCCAGTTGTACAGCAGTACCATCAGCTGGATCATCCCCTTCCCCCCAAACTTCATGAACTCGTTTACTATCCCATCCGCCCCTGCTGCTTTGTGGCACTGCAGCTTGTTCACACACGCCTCAACCTCGTCCTTAGTGAACTCCTTTTCTAGTTCTACGTTCCCAACGTCTGCCTTCGATGTCTCTTCTTCTTTCTGGGCCCATGCGTCCACCTCCTTCTTAAACACTTGGTCAAAATCTTCATTCTCCGAAGGCACTCCAAGTCTCTTGTAGTGTCCTGCTAGAACTTCCCTTTTTCCCTTCCCACTGCTGACTAGTCCACCGTTCACACCTCGCAATGTTGCTACCCCTGTATCCCCCCCTTGCGCGGTCTTTTTTTCCATCCCACTAATCCCTTCCCACATCTGCTTGACGTTCCCCTCCAGGCCTCCGTTGGCCTTCTGCACTACTTCGTCCCAAATGCTCTTTTTCTTCTTTTTCACTAGTCCCTTCACCTGTTTCCTCTTGGCCCTGTACTTTTCCCAGCTCTCTTCAGACCCCTCACCCAGGTACTGCTTGAAGACTTCTCTACGTTCCCCTATTTCTTCTTTCAGCTCGTCATCCCACCACTTAACCGATACCCCACATCGTACCACCTTCTTTCCCACTACTCTCTCTCTGCCGTTGTGTTCACTATGGACTCCCATCCTTCAATCACTCTGTCCCCTGCTGCTTGTGCGTCTACCTTTCCGTCTTCGACGCTTCTCAGCAGTTTCCTGAAGGGTTCTACACTACCAGCCAATCCCTTCTGGAATTCATCGCGTGTCCCCTCGTCTCCCAAACGCTCTACTTTCCACCGGAACACTTTCCTCTTTTTCTTACTCTCCGTCTTTCTAGATCGGCCGATGTTTGCCCATATGAGGAAATGGTCGGTCGAACCTATATCTATCGCACTTACGTGCAGCTCCGGGACCTGTGTGCTCCCCCTATCTACCAGGATGTAGTCGAGGATCGAGTATTCATTGCAAACTGCCCTCTGCCTGGTGAACTCCGGCTTATCGCTTTCCCTCCTACCGTTCAACACCATCAGCTCGTTGCTTCCCAAGAATTCAAGCATCCTCACTCCGTTGTCATTCACTTTGTCTTCTCCGTGCTGCCCGATCGCCTGTCCTCTACTGCAAGCTTTCCCTACTCTGGAGTTGAAATCGCCCACCATGACAACTTCTCCCTTCCTACTGAACCTCTGGACATCTTCCCCAATTTGTCCGAAGTTCTCCTACGCCTTGCTTGCGACTTTCTTCGACGACGGTGGGACGTCTACGTTCCCTAGAAACGAATCTTTCTCACCCCGCTCCCCAGGTATCTTAAGCCATAGGCTTTCCTCGACCGTTTTCACCACTACTTCCACCACGTCAAACAAGTGTTCCTTGACCAGGAATCCGACTCCCCCCTCCCCCCTTTTCTTCGGGTCTAAGCCCTTTCTTGCCTTCCCTACCCACCGGTACTTCCCTAGTTTGCTTACCACGTCCCCATCCTTCAGTTCCCACGTCTCTTGGATCCCCACTACATCCAGATCGCTTTGTTCTACTTGGTCCACTATTTCCAACCGCTTGCGCTCACTCCTTGCGAACCCGCACACGTGAGGGGGGGGGGGGGGCCCCCAGCACTGTACTCCCCAGAATTAAAAACCAACATAACTTAACTAGAAGTTAGTAGCCCATGACAGCTTGCTATATTTATACGAAGTAACAATCTTCCGGCGCCGAATGTACACACCATTAACTATTATCTCAAACCTTCATCCAACAACTACTACGTGGTAAAAAGGTCCTTGTGCACTTATGCGTGCCGTTAACACCAGCACACGCAAGCACACGCAATGGAGAGGGAGAAAGCCAAAGCCTGTACAAACATGTACCACGAAAAAAGCAAAACTTTTTTCGTCCCCCTCTCGGGGGGGGGGGGAGGGGGGGGGGGGGAAGGGAATTGTGCCGGAAAAACTTTTTTTTGGGCCCTTGGGAGGGGCAGGATTATAACCCCCGAGTGCCAAGTACATGTATCCAAGCAAAAAGAAAAAACCGCTGCTGGGACGAGCCTTTTGCGGGGACGTGGGTGCGCGTACTCCGCGGGTTCCGGTTCCTTGATGGCGCGTTGCTGGCGTTACTGTACCCTGCCAACCGACGAATATTTACCCGCGCGCCTGTGTGTGTATGCCGCGCGTATATATATATATATATATATATTTGTTCTTGTTTGTCAGCCATCTCGACGGTTACCCTCGTCGTTGGCAGCGTGGTGTACATCAAGCCAACAGGGGTTCCCCCAGTACCGTTCGCGCGGGACGTGGTGTTCCTGGTGTTGGCGCTGGTGCTCGTCGTCATCTCGGACTGCTTCGGCGAAATATCGGTGAGGTCTTGGCGAGGGTGCCTGAATGAATGAATTTTGTCGCCGGGTTACCATGGTGCGGTCGTAGCTGGGTTGTGTCAGAGGTTTCTACGGTATTGTAGTTGTCCCGCTACAATACCGGTTGCCCGTTAAAACGCCGGTGAAATCGTGTGGCACTCGTGGAATATTCACATTGTTTTGTACTCTAAATAGTGCCGGTTGCCCGCTATTTTTCCGGTTCAAGGGGCTGGCACCTACGGTATACCGTACCGGCATTATACCGGGACCACTACTGCTGTATGGTATGTAGTTTCACGGAAGGTTTTGGGTGTTGCGAAGGTTGGTTGTGAGGTTGTTGTACAGTTCGGCTCCTCCCTATGATGTTTGTTCCCCGGATCGTGAGTTTCTTTTGGGCTGTACGGATGATTGGTGCTGTCGCCGTCTCGGCGTATTGTACACATCGAACATCTGGGCGACATTTTTTCCTGCTTGGAGGTTGGGTTTTGTGTAGCTCTGAAGTGCCCATGCCTGTGAGTTCGAGGTGTTGTACGTGTCGGGTGCCAAGCCAGCGGAGCGTTGAGAGGGCCCGTACCTACCACCAGTAGAATGAATGGCGGAACACACAAGAAGGGTGGTAGCTGCTCAACACCGCCGTGCGCTTGCATGCTCATGGTTGGGCATTGTCATGGCCGAAACTACACGTCCCCCCCGCTGCAGAAAACAAAGTTTTCAGTGTATCACGTCAACACTTTGCGGAGCGAAGTGCGCCGCAGGAGCATAACAGACGCTTAAACGTGTTCCCTGGTCCCCCCCGCCCCCCGCCCCCGCCGCCGCCGCTTACATATTGGACACCACAATCCACTCCTTTCCCGCTGTCAGCTGTGGTTGGCTGCTTGCTACCTGGCCTTGTACGGAGTGTACGTAACGATGGTGCTAAAGGGGCGGAAGGGGGAGGAATCATCAAGAGGGGATGCTAACCCGAGGCAGGACGGGGAGGGGGGTGGTGTCGGGGAAGACGACCATGCCGTAGATGCGCGGTGGATGTGAGTCCACTCGATGGTGCCGTAGTGTTTTTGTCGATGTTTCTTACTTGTCCCCAAGACTGCTGCTCCTGGGTTCATTGAAAGGAGGACATCCCGTTTCTCTGTTTCATTCCGAGATCGTGGCGTGGCTCGACAAGCGTCCGCCCGATGTACTCCGATTCTCGCTCCCTCTCTTCTCTCCCTTTCAACTCGCGAAACTTAATGGTACGGAGCATCCTTTTTCCCGTCTGCCCGACTACCATGCCAGAGGGGTTGGGTCTTGGCCCCTGTCAAGCGCAGAGAAGGAGCGTGCCCCCAGGAGGCCGAATCCATCCAATCCGGATTTCCACTTCAGCAAGGGGGGAGGGAATGGCGCTGAAGGCGGTACCGTGACCGTGAGCGGGGACGACGGCGGTGGGCATGGTAGCGTACCCAATTCCTGCAAAACTCCCCCCAATGGCGTCAATGGAGGCCGCGGCTCAAGCGGCCACGGCAGCAATCGGCGGGGACACTCGTTCGACTCGGCGGAGAAGGGGCTGGGTGGGCGCCCCGCCGCTGCGCGGGACGACTTTTCGGCCAGAGGGAACAGCGTCAAGCACGACTACTTCGGCGGGGAGGGCGTGGGGGAAGAGGGGCGATCGCTTTTGGGCGGCGGCGGCGACGGAGTGGGGTCGGGTGGTGAGAGTTGGGGGCTTGACGGAGAGGCGGAGGAGAACGTTTTCGCCATGGTTCCCGGCAGCACGGCGTCGATGTTCTCAGAGGTGAGGTTTGGAAGGAGGGAGCGGGGGGGGGGTGAGGGACGTGGTAGAGCAGCACATACCGGCTACGGTTTTACGAGAGGGTCGGTATGTGATTTTTTTCTGTGCTATGTTGGACTTGTAGTACTTTACTTCTGTTGCGGTGAAGAGAGGAGGGGACGGGGTGCAGGAGCGGCTGCGGGTGTATGTGTAAGAGGGTCGGGATAAGCTAAAATTGTTTCTTTCTATACGTACTATATTATATTCGTAGAAGTGCTGTACTGTTGTTGTGGTCAGGAGAGGAGAGGTCAAGGGACAAGAGACGGGGTAAAGCAATAGCGTCTGCGGAGAGGGTTGAGATAAGCAACAATCTTTGTCCGAATTATTTCTTCTTGATCTACTGCTGTAGTTCTCATGGCCGGGGCAAGCCGCGTTAGCCATCTCTCTCTTTCTTCAAATCTTAACAATCCCTTATCTTATCCCCCCTGTCTTGTCAAATGTAGCGTTGGACGTTCGACAGACGACGTTTGTATCATGTGGATTTCCTTGTCGAATGGCGTCCCACTGCAGTCAGTTTTTTTCGACCACTTTGGCGCACTGCCGTTTCTTCAAGAAGATTGTATGTTATTTTTTTATCCCTTCTTCACCTCTTTTCGAAGCATGGCGGCGAGCCCTTGCGGACCCCTCTTGCGATGGACGCCTGGTGCGGGAAAGCCGCACTGCTGTGAGTACTAAATAGAGCGATCCATGAACAGGGCCAACCAACGGTCCAGAGAGACTCTTTCAACAGCCAGCGAGTAAGAGAGCGCACCCCCTCCCACCCCTTGTGGTACAATAGGCACCCATCCTCGAAAATAACACCCCACCCGTCCTTCCTCGAAAGCAACCCCCCACCCGTCCTTTCCTGCAAAACAACCCCCCCCACACTTCTTTCCTGAAATCCCCCCCCCCCCCCCCCCTCTCTCGCGGTACCAACAGGAGGACGACTCCGCGGCTAGCTGGCTGGCCCAGCGTCAGCGGCAGGGACGCAGTACTCCCTGGCGCATCGCCTCCTCCGAGTACGGGGCGAGCGAAGACATGAGCATTCCCCTCTTGCAGGATAAGAGTTGGCAGAACGGTTCGCGGAATGGCGGTGGTCGTGGGATTGGTTCTGGGGGTGGCCCCGTGGGTGCGACCGAGGGGGACGGGGGGGGACCGGGGTCGTCATCCCTTCTCGGGCGAAGGTGGGAAAGCGGATTTTTGTTGCTGCACCCCAACCTCTTGGCTGCCGTGTTGTTTGTTGCTGCAGTACTTTGCTTCCCCGTGGCCGTCTAATTTTATGTTGTATTGCATGTGCGCTGCCGTGCTGCTTGTTGTAGCGGCTGTACCAATACGAGGTGTTTCGTGTTTCGTGTTTCGTGTTTCGTTGTGTTGGTGCTCTGAGTGTTGCCCTTGAGTCTAACCCTTTGCGCTCAGGGTGTCGTGGGGGGCTTGAAGCCTCGAGTGCAGTTTGCCGTGAGAGTCAGGGCTATCTTGCACTTTGTGGTTCTCGACAACGGATCCCTGTCTCCTGGTATCCCTCTCTCCCCTGCCCCTCTCTCTGGACGTGCTGTTTTTATGGCATGACGGCAGATTTGAGCACACCTGGGCCACAATTCAGTGGAAGCAGTGGAGGCTGCGACGGCGTGTTCGGCGTGGGCTGGACAACAGCTACGTCGCCAATCTGCCCTGGTACCGCCGGGTGTTTTGGGCCTTGGAGTTGCCGTTCATCCTGGTTAGGAACGCTACGATACCTCCGGTAGAGGCGGACTCGTGGTCTCAAGCACAAGCAGCGGTGCGTCCACCGCGCAATCCCGTCCCGAATCATAGTACCCCCCCCCCCCCCGTCCTTGTTACCTTTGAGGGGCTGCCGACAAATGGCGAGGACGAAAACCTTCCTGGCTGTCTTTGAAACCTTTCAGTTTCTCCCCCGGAATATATCTATTTTACCCCTCCTCCCTGAGCACTTTCTTCCATCCCATTTTGACAAGCCTACCGTAGGTGACACAAGATACCACGCCCCCTGGACCGATTTTGAAAGCTCGACTTCTCCACGACAAAGGGGATGCCAATAATCAAACGAGACGGTTGCAACGCCTTCCGCCATTTTCGGCACCTCCACTGTTTGTGGTATCTTGGAAGACTGATCGTTATTCGAAAATTGGCCGAGGGTGTGGTATCTTGTGTCATCTGCGGCGCGCCTCTTCTATCGCTCCGGGATTCCTTTCATGGCCTGAAATGCTTTGTCCACATGTCGATATCAATGGTAAGGTTCCCTTTTTGCTGCCGCGTGATCCTGCGTGCCGCCCCCGCCTCTTTCCCCGTACTGCCAATCAAATTCACGCCCGTAGAGTTGTGTCTCTTTTACTCTTATCCTGATGCGTCCCACTGCAGGGCCTTCATTTCTTCTTTATCCCCGTTCCCTATACACTCTTCAGATAAGCACGGCGCTGGCGCCGACCCTGGTCGCGTGGGCTTTCGGCGCGTGGGGGACCGATATTTTGTGGGGTTTGACGTGCGGCTGGGTGGCCTTGCTGGGGGGGTTGCCAGCAGGGGTGGCGGTTTGGCTGACGACTCACAAGCGGAGGATGCCTGAGGAGAGATGGTACCGGCTGTCGCTGGCCCTCTTGTCGTTCCTGTCGTGCGTGGCCTGGATCTACTACTTCGCGGATCTGGCCGTGACGTTGATTGACGTGAGTGCAGTGCGTCTTGAGAGCGAGAGAGAGGGAGAGGGAGAGGGAGAGAGACAGAAAGAGACAGCGAGAGAGACAGAGAGAGGGAGAGGGAGAGAAAGAGACAAACAGACAGAGGGAGACTGACATAGAGACAGAGACAGAGGGAAACTACTAGAGAGATAGACGGTTCTTTTTCTTCACGCGCGCTAATACGAATTTCATTGCATTAAACCCTTCCTTGTTTTAGACAGGTACAGCACAACAGTACAACAGAAACACCGTAAACGTCATGGCGATGTATATTCGACCCAAGTTCCCCGTCTGGGTTCTCGTCCTGAATAACTTCGAATGGCATGCCTCTTTAACTTGGTGTCTCGATCTCCGATCCCCCCACCCCCCATCTTACGCAATCCCATCCACCGTGCCTCCCTGTTCGGGACCGTTTTTCACCGAGATAGGAAATCGGTACCGCAACGGGCATACCGGGGAGCATCCTTGGGTTGACGCTTCTCGCCTGGGGGAACTCAACGGGGGATCTGGTGACGAACCTGGCCGTAGCAAAAGCCGGGTTTCCGGGTATGGCTATAGCTGGCTCCTACGGCGGTCCGCTCTTCAACGTCCTCCTGGGCGTTGGCATGCCCATGTTTTACAGCTCAGCGAGGTTAGTGACACTGGTGTTAAAACTGTTCCTGCGTTTTTTTTTTCTTCATGGCGAAAGTGACCTATCCTTGGTTGTTTTTTTATAGTTGTTGGGGTTCCCGAAACGATGATACTGTACACGACTTGCCTTACTCCTGTGTGACGACCCGGGTTGGCGCGTCGAAAAGTGCGGGACACCCGCTTCACCTACAGAAAACAAATGTGCACCGAACGGTGTGTATTGTGTACAGCCTGGCGTCAGATTGGATGGGACGAATACGCGGACGTAGATGTTGCTCTTCGGCTTGCTTCCCTTGCCCTTGTCGTTGTCCTTGTCCTTGTCTTTGCCGATGTCTCGATCACGCACGTACCGTATAGTGAGCCCATACGGTAGGTTAAAACACGTACTGTAGTAGCCATTGCCACCCCCCCACGTTTCCAACGAGTTATTTGGACACCCCCCCGCTCGCCCCTACAATGCTCCGTCCTCTCAAGGACGCGTGGTCAACGGTCTTACCTCTAAGGCACGCAAAACATAAGAGTACACCCCTTCCCAACACAACAACACACGACAGATACTACCCGGACTCTGCGGTGTTCGAGCTAGACTCTTCCACCCTCTTTACCGTGGTCATGGTCATCTTCGTCCTGCTGGGCACGCTCCCCGTGGTTGCGCGGTCCGGCTACCACTTCCCCCCGAAGGCTCCCGTTGCCCTGCTCGGTGCGTACGCTGTGTACATGATCGGCGCGGTGTGGTTGACTGTGACCTTCAAGGCATATTGACGCATAGTGGACGTTCCCAGGGGGTGAAGAGCAACTTCCCTTGGGCCTGCAAGGGGTGATGATGTACGATGTACGCGCAACGCTACATCGCTTTCGTGTGAGCGCAGATTTCTGCGCGATTTTTGAGAGGGGGTTGTAGGGCAGCTGAGGCATCGCGTCCGCAGGTTGCACAGCGGCACCTACAGTGTACCTACAGTCCTCTGAGTGACTGGATGGGCGAAGCGGCGGAGAGCATTCCGCGTGGCCTGAGCTTTCCCGAAAATGACTCCCGTGTATGTGGCTTCCGTAATGGTCCGTCTAAGTGCGCTTTTTCATGGTGGGGAAAGGAAGCCAAGGGTTCGTCAGCGTGCGAGCTCGGCCAGTGGGTCGGACGGAAGGGGTCAAGAGCAGACCTTTACAGATTGTGTGCTGTTTTCGGAGGAGTTATGCGTCTTACGTGGGCGAGATGTCAGACGTGACACACAGAGGCCTCGCAGACCGCCGTTTCATTGTCCTATACAGCTGCACTCTTGTTGCTAGAGCCGAGAGAGGGAGCCATGTAGTTGGCTTGCTTGTAGAGCGGGCGTTACGTCACGACCTCGATATGCTGTGTTCCAGCTACACGCGCGTCTTGAACGGGTACGGGTAAAAAACCAGCCAGTCAGCCAATTCATGGTGGACGATTGGTCCGCACTCGCTTGCGCTTGTTGCATGAGTAACTTTTGTCCAGTGGAGCTCGATGTGTCCAGTCGAAGAGGCTGCTTCAACAGATCTGTGTGTAGTGCACGTCAGTTGTGTGTTTGCTTGGAGACTACTACTGTAGGCTAACTTCACAAGGTGGAGAGATGACCAGTCGACTTACATGCGTCTACACGGGACGAAGGAGCCTTTGTTACAGGGGGTTGCATTGACTACTACACGGGAGATGGATTACACTCAGGATTAAGCCAGCGAAATGCGTGTTGAGGACGACTCTCCGTGGGGAGGAGAGGGTGTCAGTTGAGTTATGGCAGGACGTGGAGCAGGGTACAGCAGTGCGTGTTGGATGGACGTATGACCATATTCCGGCGCGGAGTGGGGGCGAGAGTCTGACCTTGGAGATCATGGCGGAGTAGAACACAGAATAGGCCCTGCCCATTCAAGTTTCTTGTTCGTTTTCGGCAGGAAAAGACATAACTCTTGCTGAACCTTGCATGCTTGCTTTGGTAGGGATGGGCAGAGAAACAGCGTAGCCGCCCGGCCTATCGAAGTTTCTTGCTTGTTTTGGGCAGGAACAGGCGTAACTCTTGGAACCTCAGATGCTTATTTTAGTAGGGATAGGTGGAGAAATGGCGTATCAGGTGCGAACCCGGCGGTGGATACAATGTACACTCCGGGGACAGGTACGATAGGGACGATAGAAGCAAGCGAGTATATGTCTTGAGTGGTGACAACTGATTTTTGTTGCTTACTTTCGTTGTTCTTGGCCCCGCTTGTCGAGCGGGAGCGTTGGGCTCTGTGCATCGATCCTTTCATATCTTTTTGTCCGGCATGCCATGGGCTACGCCGCGTGACTGCTGTTGTAGTTTGCTTACGTTTATGAGTCGGTATTTTCTCTAGATTTTGGGTTTAAATCTCTCTGTAGTGAGCAAGAAGGCATTTTCGGGGTGAAAAATGGAGTATTATACATGTAGTCAGTCGCGGATAAGCACAATGAGGACAGTAGCTGCTGAGCCCTTCTCGCGTTCATAGTGGATCAGAATGCAAGCACCGCAGGGAGACGGAGAAAAAAATACTTGGAAGTACTACTACAGCTGTAGTTATTCCAAGTGTGTACCTCCTTCTGACCCCCACTGGTACGCAGTTATATTCCGAAAGATGTACTGGAATCTGGCGCCCACTATTGATGGTATAGATGGGAACACACACAACGAACACCTTTATCGTGTTGGCGCATTTGTGTTACATGCAGTGTTTCTGGATCCTTTCGATAATGTTTGACCTTTCATATAAGTGCTCTGTGACTTGCTTGGTCTTGCTCTGTTTTGTTCTAGTGAGGCTATTCTGTTATTATTGTGTACTACCAGGTTTCCTACTACGTTGTTTTCTAGATATCTCTATCTTGCTCTGTTTCTGTGTACAAGTATTGGTTTCTCTTGCTTGTGTTTGCGTGCGGGTGTCGTCAGTGTCCTGTAAATTCAAGGCTTGCTTAGTGCGAATGAACATATGTTCGTACCGGACAGCCACAGCTCATCCCACCTCCAATAGTGCTTGAGCGATACAAACACAACAGGAAGTAAGTGCCCGCCAAGCCTTTTCTCTCTGTAGTAGTTACTACCGCTGCGTGCTTGTTGGACGTCGAAGAAACGTCATGGTCGGGTGAAAATGGTCCGTGAGTGAAGTTCCGCCTTCCTTGCATCATCCCGTTACTACGTATTGAGAGCTCCCTGTGAAATGATTCTGCACCACCGTGATTGGATACTTTCTACCCCCTCACCGCAAGTAGCTAGAGGAAGGAAGCAAGGGTGTGGAATGACTGACTGGGAAGATGATGATGAGAACATATCTGACACCTAATAATATTACCCTTGGCGGTGAACGAGAGGGTGCTGTAGAGTATTTTTAGTGCTTCTAACGAAGAAAGAAAATCTATACATGGTTTACCCCGTCCGTCGTCCGAACATGGTGTGTGCGTTCGTTTTCCTCTACGACATTCCCAAGGGGAACAACTAAATTCTAAGCTGGCTTCCATCGATTGGACCTCTCTATATTATTATCCTCGTCTTCCCGGCACGTGCATCCTGAAACACACACGCAGAACAGTACCCGAGCTGCTGTAGATATTATTCGTTGTGGTTGATCTTCTTTGTGTTCATGACCTAACGTTTTTCCCAATTGCGAGCGCTATTTAGTGGCTCCGCATGGGGCGTGGGAAATTTTACTCCGTACGCCCTCGGATCCCTAAAAATATAGATGATAGAGGCGCGCGTTCATGTGCCGCCGTAGTCTCTGCAGTCAAAGACCTGGGTGTGTATGTGCTCGTGTGCACACCAGTTTACAGGGGATTGTTAGATTTCGATCAAGGCCTAGGAGATAGTTCCTTCGAGCGCCATATGGTTGCTTAGGAAGGTCAGCCGGGGTTGATGTGTTGAAACGGTCGCGGATGGCAATGAAATATTAATATTGGATCTTGAGGCAAACGCGCGTTTTCCAAATCGATGGAAGGCCAACTGCAAGCGGGGACAGTCTGAGTGCTGAAATGCAAGTTCTAATCGCGCCGCTCCGCCACACTTACATGCGGAGGTCATGCATCGAATCCTACTGCTGGTCGCGGTCTTGGGAATCAGCACGGCAGTCCATGGGTTCATCATCAAACCTGCGTTGTGTTCAAGAAGGGCGAGCCGCGAAGGCGGAATGATAGCTGCAATGCAGGTGGGGTTGCTGGAGCATGCTGACAACAGTCCCGCGCGACCCCCGTGAAGGCAGACAACAAGCAGCAACAGGCTGTTCCTAGCTGATTACTCGGGGCACACTTGAACGCTCATGCCTAGACTACTGTTGTAGTACCATTTATTTGGTTCTGGTAGCCAGCACCTCTGCTAATCACGAGCGAACAGAAATCAAACGCACAAGTTGCACTTCTACAAACCAAGAGTCTAAGAGGTACACAGCAGTTTGGGTTGATCCGCAAGAAAACCGGCGGTTTAATTGGGATTGCGTGACATGGCGAAAGACCAACACAACGGATAAGGTTTGGGCGGGGTTTACCAGTAAACGCATTTGTCTCGCGGATCTACCTGGTCGTGTTTATATGTCAGGCCTGCCCACCTTGTCGATCTACGGAGTAGTAAATACGCTTGCTGGACTCGTCCTATCTTTGCATCTTCGGGAAGTTGCGCTTGCCTTGGCATGATTTTATAGGATCAGGATCAGTGCCAAGGAACCGCTCATTAAAGCCGCCTGCGTGCCACGATGTAAGTAGATGTGACTTGATACCTGTACAGACCATATGTGAAAAACTGCCCCGCTTTCGGAACATCTGCAACTTGAATTGCGTGCCTTGCTTGCACCAGCAGGGGGGTATGGATCATGTCCTGTTCGTGGAGCTCGGTTTCGGCAATGACCAACATGGACAAAATGCCACCAAGGCCTGCGTCAGGTGCTGCTGTACCTGCAGTAAACCGATTCCTTCGGCTTCCTAGTTTGTTTCCCCACTTGTAGAAACAGAGCCGAGGAAGTTGAGATGGCATACAAGTACGAGCATGCAGCCTTGCCAGTGACATGATGGCCGGTTGAAGTATTATACATACAGGAGACAAATGTAGTAATGGCAGCATTCAACGAAAGGGGGGCCTACAGTAGAATGAAAATGGGAAGTTATTTATAGGGAAACATGGCAAGGAATGAGGGGGAGCCACAGACGTACTGAAAAACATTTTCCAGGAGACATAGGGAAGAGATCCTTGGGCAATGGAATGAGAGGAAGAAGTGCAAGCTGCAAGAAGAGGCAGCAAGTCGATCGCATGTCAACAGCCCTCTGGATCGGATGCTGAGGACGGAATCATTCGCCACCATTTGCCAATACCAGACAGTTGGCGAGGTAGTGTGTGGTCGGCCCCTCTCTGCTCTCGATAGTTAATATTTACCGTGGTACATTGCACCCCTTTTGTTTGTACCGTACCGTAAGGGCGTGCCGGAACGCGATCGAGTTCAACTCGATCCCTTCCATCAAGAACATCGTTCCGGGTGGCTACGCCGGCATGAAGCTCCGTGTGCAACTGGCCGTCCCGGTGGCAGAGGTACGTGTTTAAGTCTGTTCGAACAACTACGGTAGTTTTGTTCACTTCTTCCGCAGCCATCGGTTGAGGGCTTGTGTCGCCGGAGATGATACGCGCGAAGAGATCAATCCGGGAAAACAAGCGGCACCCAGGATATCAGAGTGCACAGTTTCGTGCATTCCAATGACACCCCTCCAGGGTTTATGTGAGGGCGACGAAACTATGTGGATCTGTGCGCATGCTGGTGCCGTCCATTTCAAGACGGCAGTCCTGAGACTTTCCAGCTCTTTCGAGGTCATTTTCTGTTGCTTTTGTTGAAAAACACCACTGCGAACGGGTTTTCCAGAACAACTTCCAACAGGACAAAAGCGTGAATTCTGGCCATGGGATGAATCCTTCTCGCTTCCGCATGCGTACGTGGTAAACTGGCCACACCGCATCCACAGGAAGAGGTGGACGTCGAAGAAATCAAGAAAGTCTTCCCGTACGGCGAGCTCTTGCCAATAGAGTTTCAGTCCGGAGGAATGCGAGCTTCCAGCGGCATCGCTCTGCCAGAGATGGGAGGTGGGTCAGAGACTAAGTGCCGTATCTTGATGAGCTGGCCGCTTGCAGAGAATCAAAACTGAGAACAGGCGGCCGTTGAGGAAGAGGTCGTGCCTGACAACGGTTGGCCGTAAACGGTCTGAACAAAAACAATCTGCGAGAGGATAGGATAGGCCTTCGGCGTGTTGTAGCTCGGCTGCTGCAACATAGTCCAAGGTAAGGTTAGTGGGATAAATTTGTGTTGTAGTGATATGCACGTAGGGGTCCATGAAAAGGTCCCAAAATAGCAAGCTATTGACCCATCCTCCCACCCACCGTTTCTTGCTCTGATCCGCCATCACATCATGCTTGTTGTTTTCAGACACGAACGACGACATGATCGTTGCCATCAGCTGTGTCACCGTGGGGTACTGACATGCTTTGGCCTACGCTTAAGCCCAAGGAGCTACAGTGAAACGTTTGCTCACGTTTTTGGTTGGGTATTGTAAGTATTGTGTATGGCAACTCGACGAGTATCGTCGCGTTGCCTGTCTGAAGCTTTCGATTTTTTCAGCGGGTAACAATCAAGGTAGACACCAAGAAGACGCCCGATGAGCACACAGGAACCGGGGGACCCCAAAAACAAAAAGCAAAGCATGAAAAATATAAAAAAGAAAGAAGCGAGAACAAGAGAGCCAGACGCGACAGACTTCAGGGAGGAGGAAAAAGAGAGCACAGAAAAACCACCGTCGCTGCTCGCCCTGAACTGCTGGAAGCTCTCACATAGCACTGCATATGCAGGAAACATTAGCTAGGGCCCAAGTCCATTGCTTGACATAAAGAGGCAGCGCCCATCGCTTCACATGCAGCAGCCGGATGAATGGGGAGCCTCTTCAATAACTTTACGACGTTTGCAGCACATTCCGGGCATATGCTGCAGCAACCGCCGCATGTATGTGTACAGTAGCAGCCGCATGTTGTGTACAACGGTCACTCAGAAAGAAAATCACAACAAAAAAAAAGGATGTGGCGCGCAGCACGCAGGACCCTCTTTCGCTGTTCAACCGGCCATTCCCATGGCGAAACAGGCAAGGAACAGTCAAGGTCGACTCTTGCCGGCCACAGGAGGCGGAAGCTACTCAAGCTCGGGGACGGGTCATGACTTATTTGTGGTTCTCCACCGAACGGATATCGAACGATGAGACTTCAGAAAAGCTTTAGAATTTCGAAACGTGCGGCCCAGTTTTATAGACATGGCAAGTGAACACCCTCGCAACAAAAATTAGAACTGAAACAATGGGTGGGTGGGTGACCGGCGGACCCCGAAAAGCAGAGCACGAAAAATAAAAATAAAAGTAGAAAGAAGGGAGAATAAAGACAAGTGAGGAAGACGCGACAGGCTTCCGGGAGGTGGCGAAAGAGAGCATAGAAAAGCCACCGTCGCCGCTCTGAACCGCTGGAAGCTGTCACACAGCACTACATGCAGCAAACAGTAGGGGCCATGCCCATTGTTTCACGTAAAGAGGCAGCGCCCATCGCCTCACATGCAGCAGCCGGGTACACGGGTAGTCTCACTCAGCAAGAAACAAAACAATTGCGGTTGACGTTCGATGTTGTTGGGACCCCAAGGCGACAGGCGAGAGAGAGACAGGTACTGTAGACCAAGAGAAGAGAGCGTCGAGAAGGCATTAACTCTCGAGAAGACACTCACTGTCGGCCCTGTGGCCCACCGAAGGTTGTCAAACACGTGTAACGAACGGCGACATCCGATGTGCGCTCAGCAACAACAAACACAACCAATATAACAAACAAAACATAGCCGCCGTTTCCGAACTGTGGAGACTTTCTTTCCTTTGTGGTTTGAAGTGTGGCAACACTAAAAATGAACATGACTACAAAGAACCACCACGGACGAACTATTTTATATTATTTCAACACGCTTGCCGTCGAGATAGATGCGCACCGCTGCACGAACGAGCAGACTGTTGGCTATCATACCTCATTACGTAAATAAGATTGTGCTGCCATCTGCCTTGTCGCTCAAATTACGACTACGCAGCAGACTCAAGGTGCAACACGCTTATGATGCTTTACCACCCATGCATATAGACATAGACTCTATGCAGCAAGAAAATTAAAAAAAAACTATCGTAAGGCGGACCATCTGTTGCTGGCTGTATCTTCAACCGTGCTGCCGTTATTGCTTTTCTTCATCGATATCGACACAGTAGAGAAAAACTTAGGAATTCGCATCTCCTACGCGAGCACAGCGTGCAGCCCAAGCGACAGAGACGATACCCTTACGACCTTTGCAGCATATTCCGAGCATAACAGCAGCAACCGCATGTGTAAAACGGTCACTCAGGAAGAAAATCACAAACGCAACAAAAAAGATGGTGGCGCGCAGCACGCAGGATCCTCTTTCGCTGTTCAACCGGCCGTTCCCATGGCGAAACAGACAAGGAACAGTCAAGGCCGAGTCGTGCCGGGCACAGGAGGTGCAAGCTGCTCAAACTCGGGAAGGGGTCATGGTTTGTGATTCCGTACCGAACCATACTTGAGGCGCCACGAGATTTGCACTGTAGCCCGAGATCAGCATTTGAGACCGGGTCGGGCCAGGGGTTGGAGATGCGAATGAAAGTTCCACCCACGGATATCGAACGATGAGACTGAAGCTATTAATAAAGCTTCAGAATAATTTAAGTATAAGTTAAACCGCGCGGTCGTGGTTTTGACGTAGATATGGGATATCTTAGACGCCATAATGGAAACTGTACTGGTTATTTCGTGTTTCTCGTCGTCCAAGCTAGTATTGTATCACCGATTACGAGTGAGGTCTGTGGCCAAGCCACGTGATTGGAGGACTGTAGACGGTGTTCGGGGGACAAACATATGTCTTCGGATGGCTGGAAGATTGTTGTAGCTCTTGCATGCGGGGGGTAGGAGGGATTCGGTCAGTCGACTTGCCTGACCCAGGGCACAACAGCAATATCAATGTACTTTTGACCTACGCCCCACTTCTGCACCAGGGCGTTTAGACAGCATGGCTCAGAACAGTGCCATCTTTGTTGATTTCTGTGGAAAAGATTGTAAGCGTCGAAGAACAACGAAACCACCGCAGCTTGTTCTTAGCGCCACCACACCGTGTGGCTATGTCGCCAGGTCGTGGTATTTGAAGCACCGTCGCGGAAGCAGGTGTTGCGATTGCTCTGTGTACCCGGATCGTAACCCCATAGAAATGGTGCATGCTTCGCAGTTGTTTCGTTGAGCAACAGCTGCCTGCGACCGCCTTGCGTTCATTGTCACTAGTGAGTGAATTGAGACATCGTTCCAAGGTGAAGGTGAGACAAGCCTGCTGTGCGTGGGGACGGGAAGTAGTTGGCACGGCGTGACGTGCAAGTGGTCGAATAAGTTAGTTAAGCTTGAAAACAGAAAACAGGCATGGGCTTCTCGACAAGGAGTGGGTCTTCCGCGCGTAGCAGCTGAGCACACCGTGTACGTGCCTGCGGCATTTCTCTGTAGTGGGAAATGGTACTCGATTTTCACGACACCGCGAACAAGATGTGCTCGAACGTGGGGCCCAAGGTCACCAAGCAGTCTCACAACAACTCTTGTAGTGAAAAGGATAAAATGTCACTAAGCAGTCTCGGAACAACTGCTGTAGTGAAAACGGAGACAATTTTAATTACCGTTGATAAAACAGAAGGGGGTGATGATGCCTTGTCGTTTAGCTTCTCAAATCGAAGTCGCGAACGCTTTGCTAGAAGTGCCCCGTCCCAATGAACTAGCTCTTGTTGCAGCGTTCGAATCTTCCAGCGGTGTATCTCAAGAACAAAGCAACGCATTCCTTTCTCTATCCTACCAGAGAACAATAGCCCGCTACACAAAGCACGTAGGACCGCCTTCGCCGAAAGCAGGCAGCGCCCGCCCTAACAGCGCGAGCCAAAACAACCAATACAATGCTAGGGCCAGCACCGCGAGCGATAGTGCCGATGGTGATGGTCGGCAGCGTTGCCGACTCAGCATATATATGTGGTACGCACACTGTTCCACTCGAAACACCTGCTGTGTCGGACGGGTCATTCCGATCATTTTCCGGCGGCCAGCTGTGCGCTAGCAGTATCTTGGGCGACCTGTATGCAAACAACGGGCAATCGCAAAGGGGGAGGGTGACGGAGGACCGGCAGTTGAGATGGCATCCACGTGTAGGACAGGGTAATGGAGACACGATGAGATCCCCAGCCTGTCCAGATCTTGATTATTGTCGTCCTCGTCCCTGGCATGATGGCTTCAACAGCGGTCCTCGCTTCTGTTCGCAGTCGACCTTTTCCGTCTCAATTACACTCGTAGACTGCTGTGGTAATGACCGGCATGTCTCTTGTTGCCGTGCCACGGGGAATAGTCTATGGCAACGTGACCCGCAGTACCGATAACGTAAGGAGCGTGTCAACTCCTTGGACCACTAGTAACTTCCGTGCCAAGGCACTACGAGGCCAGGCATTCCCGACCATCAATCTACCAAGTATCAGCCTCGACACGGATGTTCGATAGAGATATATCACCAAAATCCCCCCACGGTGCTCTACAACCGCAAGAAGCGGACTACACCCGTGCTGTGGAAGGATACGGCACTGCTGTAGACTACTGGTACAACGCTTGGTTCCGGCATTTCCTGACCTGGCCGCGTCTTAGAGCAGTCAGGGCATCAGCGTGCCTCAGCTGCTCGGCCAGGCGGCCCTCTTCCTCCTGCCTGGCCCGCTCCTTGTCCCTCTCCTGCTGCCTCTCGTCGATCTCGTTGACCAGCACCTGAGGCAAGCGCAAGGGCAAGGCCACCCCAAAGACACCGAGGAAAAAGACAAGCAGTCGCGACTCAACTCAACAGTAGGCCGTATTGGAGCAGGAGACCCTCTCGCCCAGAAACGGTATTTACATTGAAACAGATGCATGTAGAAACTCGTTCCTCCAATACTTTGATTCGCTGTCTTCAATGGCTGGTCAGAATCGTGTTTACCCCTGACCCGCCTTCACAGCTAGACAATACTTTGATTCGCTGTGGTCAGAATCGTGTTTACCCCTGACCCGCCTTCACAGCTAGACAGACTGCTGTCGCGTTCGAAAGCAGGACAGGCGGTAAGGGGGGAGGGAGTGATTCATACACTGATTGATCATCATTTCACACGGGTCACGGCGCCAGTACCGCTGAGCCCCTCTCACGGGACGTACATATCTCCGATGTCCTGCCCACCGGACCTTGACAAACCGACACGGCTCACGTGCGTGGCAAACAAAACACATGGACAAACAAAAACGTATGTGCCACAGACGACGGCAGCACCGACTGCGGATGAACGTAAAGGTTGTGAAGAAAACAATGCAAGTTTCGTCACCACAACCCTCTGATTTTCACACCTCGAAACTGTTCTTCTGCATACCCAGTGACACAAATTAACACACCTCGCTCCCGTCTCCCACGCAGAAATAGGACAGAGTCTTCTCGTCGTCGTCCAATGTCGACAGCAACGCGCCAGGCTCCGGGCGATGACTCAACACCTTCATACGAGAAAGTCAAGCAAGCAACACCCCGACATGAAAGAAGAAGATGCCCGCATCGGAAAGAACGGACGAGGGAATGTCAAGAGACAACGCAAAAAGTAGGAGTAGCGAGCGACACAATGGTCAACTAAAACCACTGCCTTGCGACCCAGCCGTTCGAGCGAGCAGGAAACGCGTGTAGATACACCGAAACCAACAAGACGTCATAGTCTCACAACAACAGTTACTCAGCCCATCAAGTGATCATGGCCACGAGGTCTACCGCACCAGCAGAACCCACAGCAGCAAGGTGATAAAACTGCAGTGTCAAGAAATCAGCAGTTTGATGAAATCGGAGCGTCACACGCAGCAGCAGTGTCAGCGGTGTGCTCCCCCGTCACACCTGCTGATCCGTGTCCAACTTGAACAGGCGCTTGCACAGCTGCTTGAGCTTTCCCACCGTCAGCGAGGAGGCGGGAAGCTTCTTCTTCACTGGTTCCACGGTGCAGCTCACCGCCGCCAGGCTGATTAGAGTCACCTGCACTTACATGGCGCACATACATCGTTCAAAGGTTGCCCGACGGTTGCATTTCACCTCGAGGGAAGAAGGTCCGCGTCACAGCCTGCGGGGGGGGAACGGTTCCGGTTCTAAGCAAAGCTGTTCAGTCGCGTAAAATTGAAGTTGACGGGGGGTCAGTGCGCTCTGCAGGTGGCGAGACATCGGTTTTTGCCGCCAGATCACGGCAGTTCTATGCCTCGACAGACAGAATAATCGATTTTGATTTTTGACACGAATGCTGCATGTGCCGCTGATTTCTTGCTCCGAGGATAACGTTCGAGTCGGTGACGGTATTGACGGCACGTGGTGATGTCGACTACGTATACATCCTGCGAGTACAGCCAAAGCCAACTCCACCCGGTGAGCACATATACACGAAAAAAACACGAGAAACGAATTTTTCAACATCAAAATAGTAGTAGAGCTAAGGACGTTGGTTAAAAAGTCGTGACCAATGGCAAATCGCGGTTCCATCTCGGAAACGATTCTATACCGCGCTAGCCTGTCAAACACAAAGCCTTGGAGCCGATCATCACATGCGGCCGGTGTGGCCCCATGCCAAGCTTGTCTTTCGCTGTCATCTTTGTGCGAACGACACCATCAGTGCCAACCCTTTCGTTAGAGTCGAGCTACTAATAAACTACAGGAGGTCATTTCGAGAGACAAGCTTCAAAGAGATATTGGCCAGTCAACGGGCAAAATCAGCCACAGGTGATGATTTGATTCCAAGGCCCGATGGACTGTACGTGATGAAAACGGGGAGAGTGGGACGAGCAAAACTAAGGCGACACTACCGTCGTGTAGTGGTGTCGCCTTACTTTTATCGTCCCACCCTCCCAGATACCATGGCGTAGCATCCACCGGGCCTCGGAGTCAAATCATCACATGTGCTTGGCCCATGTCTGGCCAACAGCATTGCTATCTACCAAGCCGCCCTAATGGACAACCCGTTAGCGCGGTCACTGCTATAAATGGAGAGGCCTACAGAGCCAAGAAAGTATCGAGGCCCATACACCGACCACCACATTTGCGTCAGCGTGGTCGCTGAAATGAGATAAGACAACAACAACAAAAAAACACAAGTTGAAAGAACGCTCGTCGCTTGTCGCACTTGCACCATGCCGGCAGCCATGCTGCCACCTTGTTGCCCAAGACCTGCTCCCCTGCCCCCGAACGCCATCGAATCCCCGTGCAACGCCCAGAGCTCGCGGTATCTGTCGTGCCAACAGCGAACGGCACCAGCACGGCAGAAGCCATGAGAAAGGGTTTCGCCAAGTTTGGGGAGACCTTCTGCATTCGTGGCATACAATCTTCGTGCCGTGGACCGCGCGCCTCATCCCTTTCTAGATAAAGCCACTACTGCTGTCCTCACTTCGCCGCGGGTGGAAATGTAACACCATGATGCACAGGGCAACGGCCTCGCTACACAACGTACGTCTGGGCAGACCGGCCCTACAACATACCAAGTAAAGCACAAAAACAATGCATGTGCAGATCAACCCCGTCTTCACGATGAAACCCCCACACCTTGGGCTAGTTGGAGGATAACACCGTTGGTTGTGGGAGGATAAACACACCAGAGTGCCGACTGTGACTGCCTCTACAGCTCCGAGGCAAGACGCTCGCACTGCAATACGTTGCCCCTTAGGGAGAGACATCCTCGTTCAACACATGGTCTAATATGCATTACAGGTAAGTGGGCGGCTGAACTAACGGTAAAAGACAAACAGGCAAAACCAGGCAAGCCTGCCGTGGACGCGACAAGAGCACTCCGAAAGCACAAACTTTTCCAGCGCTGAGTGAACCACACCAGTCGCTCCTCTTATATGGCAGCGGCAAAAAATCAAGCGTCCTTGCCCCGCACGTGTCTAAAAAGAAACGCATGCATGCACGTATGCCTCTAGCTGATCGAACTTGACAACAATTAGGTTTGATTGATTTGACTTGCCTCGGATGCCGTTCGGCCAATCGCTGCTCCGCCTCGCCCTTGGTGAGACCCTGGCCTCCCTTATCTTCGCTCTCTTGCGCCTACGGCAACATGAATATGGCGTTTCAAGGCACACAAACGGAGGGAAAATGGGATAATTGAGGCGACGGAGTTTGGTGATGCTTGATGAGCCCAGGCCCGAATGCAGTGAAGCCACTGGCTGGGAAGAGAAAAAAAAACGTGGGACAAATTCAGGTGCTATTGCTACGAATGGAGGCGTTTGTTTCAAGGGGGAGATAGGAACGTGGTCCACCACGCCACGTAGTTGAGAAAGGCAACACAGCAGTACCCGACGAACGGGGAAAGAAGCTGTCGATTCGATTCGATGCTTGTACAAGAAACTAAACGACGATTAAGGGGATGCTACCGCCGTGATGGTGGTGGCAAGATAAACTGGCGATGCGAGGGTGGTCGTGAGGAAGGAGGTGCGAACAAGCTTGACCCCAAACTAGCCAAAGGGGCAGTGACCGATAAGGATAGACCGAAAAAGACAGGATTCTCGGACCAGAGGCGCTATGGTCGGGACAACAGGAAGAGGGATTGACTCACGCTGAGCCTGACTTGGGTCTCTTTGGAGGGGAGCGGTGGTGCTGTGTGAATGGCGAATCTCAAAGAGCGTCCGAACGTTGGCGGTGTTTTCATCAGCAGTAGGGGCAGCAACTGCTGGTTATCGGGAGCACAGCCGCGGAGTCAAAAAATAAACGCGGCAACGGGGTACCTCACCCTACTCAAAGAACATCGTGCGTGCCCCCCAAAGCGAAACCGTTGTAGGAATGCTGAATACATTTGTACCTTCTCCAAGTCTTTGTACAACACCCGAAGGTAGAGCTTCTCAGCGTCCGCCCTCTCCCTAGCCCCGACCTCGCTAGCGTTGACCCTAGTGACCTTGGGCAACCGTGCGATGCACGCGGCGCGCGACTTGAGGGAGAAGCAGAGATAAAAGGAAAAGAGAGGGAGAGAGAGAGAAAATCACATCGAGCAAAGGGTAAGGGTCGCCGGTAAATTTCGAGGGGGGGGGGGGGGGGGGGGGGGGGTAAAAAAAGGGGGCGACTTGTAAACATTTGCCCCACCCACCCCAC